ATAGTTTTTTGACAATACTTTTAGAGATACCTGCATTTATAATGAGTTCAAATATACTTGTCTACCGTGTAATAAAATTATATTTTTTTAATAAATTGATTAAAGTTTTCATTCTTAGTACTGTACATACTGTGAACTTGTTATAAATTTATGAATTAATTTTTTTGTTTAAGATGTAGATTTTCTATTTCTTCAAAAATTAAATTTCTTATTTAATTACGTATTTTTTTAATCGGAAACATTGATTTTTAAGGGGTATTCGCATGTAGAAGGCCATAACTTCAATTAAACCTAAGAATTTCTTAAATATATTCATCAAAATTCAACGACTTCTGAATTTTGATTCTTACACCCTTTGCTTATTCGAACAGGAGTTCCAAATGCAAATCCCGGAAGATGTTAAGAACTTTTTTAGAAATTCAAAATGATTTTTTTTAATTAAATGTTAAAATTTAATGATTCAAATATACAGAGTGGAACAAATTATGTAACTTAATAAATAAAGGTTTGTCGTAAAATTTCTGAAACATTTCAGTTTTTATTTTTAATGGGGCATATTACAAAGAGGTTTGTTTATTTTGTTTTAATTATCTGGGGGGGTTGAAGGTAGGTTGATTCATTTTTTTAATTGAAAGCATTTTCAATTACAAATATAGTTATTTTTTTTTGTTAAAAATGTTCAAAGTGCTCTCCTCCTTGTTACTGACAATATCATAATATATAATATCAGAACATTTTATAACACTTCCGACGTTACTTGCCTAATTTCGTCCCCGATTATTTTTGGAAGCTCGGCGATATTGTTAGGTTTAGTATTATAAAACTTACTTTTAGATACCGCCATAAAAAATATAATGGGGTAAGTTCGGGTGATCTTGCTGGCCTCTCAATTGGACCACTTCTTTTAATCCACCTATTTGGAAAACTTCGTTAAAAGTTGAGCAAAATGTAGAGGTGCACCGTCTTGTTGAAGCCACATCCGTTGGTTAAATAAGTTAGGATTCAAATTATTGGGGAATAAATTAACTAAAGTAGGAATCAGTTCTTCCTGTAGCATAGTTAGGTATGTTTCTCCGGTTACATTTCCATTGAAAAAAAAAAGACCTACTATGCAATCCCTTATAATTCCAGCCCAGGCGTTTATGTTTTGAGGCCTTTGGATATGGAATTCACGCATCCAGCGGGGATTTTCGCCAGTCGAACAATGGCAGTTCTGCCTATTGACGTGTCCATATAATGTGAACATAGCTTCATTAGAAAAAAAATTGTAAAATGTTTGTGTGACTGACCATGAACTCGAGCTATTGACTTAGGTAGAGTAACTTCCAACAATATGACAGGGCTTATTCGTCGATTTTTAAAAGCTTTTGTCGATAAGCATCCCTTACTTTGCCTAACTCCCGATATCGTCTTTCAATTTTGCTAATCGAACATCGATTAATTGGGGGCAATTTCGAATGAACTTCAGTAAACAAACGAGCGATTTCAGCCTTTTATCGACTTCTGATTCCATATCCGATCATTAAAATTACGATACGATACGTCTCGATTAAATAGGACTATTTCTTTCTTTTTAATTTACACGTTGAAATGCAAACCAGTACTAATAAAACAATCACATTCAATTCAGATTGACCAAAAAACTATGGAGCAGGTTTTTTATTGTATCTTATCAAGTAAAAAAAAAAAACATTAAAGTATTTTTAGTAAATATTTTATTCTTTCCGACATATTGCTTTAAGAAATATGACGACGATGACAGCGTTGCTGTGTAATAAGACTGTGGTTGAGACACAAAGCGGCTTCGAATCCTACTAAAAAACTATGTTAATTTTTAAATAATTGGCATTGGAATGCGTTACCGTTTCGAAGATGGTGGCTGAGGTTTTCCGGGTTTTCTTCTCCTGTAAGTCAAATAGCACCATCAATCATCTTTTGTCGCCGCGGAGCGCCACAGCAAATAATAATAATAATAGCCGTCCTTTCCCCACACAAGCTCAGTCGGCTTCAGGGGTTTAAATTCACTCGTAAGGGGGTGAATTCGGGAGAGTATTATTATTATTATTTTTAAACGAACCAAAAACTAACTGTTATGTCTGATATTATGATACGATCTATACTTTTTAAATATAATTATGGTGCTTTTCTACAAAATAAAGTAGTTTATTTTCGAAATACATTGCTTGTGAAAAAATAATGTGATTGTATTTGTAATTAAAAAAGCTTTCTAATAAAAAAATCATTAACATTTCTATTAAAAAAATAGTTTGGGGTGTCTGCAACCCCCAGATAATTAAAAAAATAAATAAACCTCTTTCTAATATGCCCCATTGAAAATAAAAATTAACATGTTTCAGAAATTTTATTAAATTACAGAATTTGTTCCAGTTAGACTTTCCATTCTGTAAGTAGTCATTAATTTTTATATGTCTTTCAACATAATAAAATTAAAAATATTTTATAAAAAAGGCGGATTTATTTATAACCAACAGTTCAGATTCAGAATGAAATCATGAAATGGGGTAAAAAGCAAAATACATCTTTAATTTAAATTAGCATTTAATCCGGTATCAATGGCCTTTGATTCCGAGACACGTTAATTTTAATACAAAAATATTCCCTTATACAATAAGGTTCTAATTCCAAAAGTAGTTTTTAATTTATTTTTAAATTTATTATTTAAGAAACAGTTTCTGTAAATTTGATTTCTGTGTTATACGGGGTGGGTCAATTATCTCCCCAGTGTAGCGCCTAAATTAATTGAGTTATCGAAATGAAACAATTTTTGTTAGAAAATCCCCATGTCTAGAAAATAATTTAATTTATACAGAGTACTCGACGTTCAAGCAACAAAAATGTTGGTGACAGTTTTAATTGAAACACCCTGTATATTTTTACATTTTTAGATAGCTATTTCAGAGATCTTTACGCCAATGCTATGAATTTAAAAAAGAAACGCTGGCTGAAGTTATATGATACATGAACTTACCTCGTCCATATTTCATTATTTCAGAATGTATAGGATGTTTATAACATAATAAATTACAACGATACAGGCCATAGTAATTATTGTTGGGTGTTTCAGGTATGCAGTTATAAATTGTAAGAAAAAATTATAAAAATTCTAAAAAAAATTGCCAGTCAGCTGTTTAATAAACTAAAAAAAACTACCATCTACATGACGTAATCGATTTTTTTTTAAATAGAACAACATATTTTTCTCTTTATTTTTGAGTTGCCCAATAACTGACATTTACAAAAACGTATGTAATACTTATAGTCCAAAGTAATTGGTTTGTGTATTAGAAAGAAATATATCAGAAATTTTTGAATCTAAAATTTTGTTAAAAGGACTGGTCTAATAAGTCGTTGATATTGTTGTCCTATTGAAGTACACTTTATATTTAAGATAACCCCAAAAGTAAATTTCAGGGAGGATTACATTTTTGTAATCATCCGTTATTGGGAATTCAAAAATGAAGAGAAAAATTAACCTGTGAACGCATTTTTTTAAATACGCTTAGCCAGAAAAATATCGAATTTATTCCAACCTATACGTCCTCACTGTATGAATTATTATTTTAACATTATTACATTTTTTTACATCTACAATGTACCATTTATTGCAACTGTAAAATAAAATATAATTTTTTCTCGCGTTTATTTTTATTTATGTTTATTTTTTCTTTTTACCGCTTCAGTAAATGTTTTGCGTTGCTTTCCATTTTTGCCATTAATAAAAAACATTTTTTAGGTCACCGCTCCAAGAAAATCGGCCCATTCTCAAAAAAATGCCTATTTGTCAGGTGGTATTAACTGATTTCAAATTTAATAAAACCATTGCTCATTTAGCAGAATCTAAATTACCTAATTTGGACACAAAAAAGAATATCGATAAATCTGAACCCAAACATACTTCGCCTGAAGCCGAATCTAAAAAAACCTACAAATGTTTCACTTGCATGTCCAAATTTTCAAATCAAGAAGCACTAGATGATCATTGCTTAGATCATTCTGACGTCGAACGTAAGAAAATCCACACGTGCTACGTTTGCATGTCGAAATTTTCCACACAAGATGCGTTAGACGAACATAAACATACTCATTCGGAAAGCGAACATGAAGATGATCTATTTGAAGAAGACTTCGTTCCCAAAGCGAAGATCAAAAATACGGAAAAGGAAGGGAGTGAAACTGAAGAAAAAATTAAAAATTTAGACGTTCTGTTGAAGAATCCGGAAGAAAAACCACGACGGGGAAGAAAGAAAAGGAAGAAAGGAGAACCTTTCGTGGAAAAACCCAAAAAGGAAGAAGTACCAATTATAAAGGAAGAAAAGGTCTTTAGTAAAGATAAAGAAAATGTGAACGCAGAAAAAGTCAAAACGCCTTTTAAATGTGATACTTGTGACGTATTTTTCGAAACTTCTGATGATGCGAAATCTCATATTTCCCCTAATAAATGCAAATTTTCCTGCCACTTATGTAATAGAAAATTTAATACGTTATATGCTTTCATAGTTCACGTTATGCAACATAGAAGTAATACTGTTAAAAATCAAACACCTTCTAAATCACTTTACGCTTGTACATCATGTGATAAACATTTTGCCGACTGTTTTCAATTGAAAAGACACGAGATTTCAGTTCATAAAAGAAATACTAGCTCGGAACCTGTATCTACGCCACCAACAGAAGTTATGATGACTCAAGTCATAATGAGCACAGAAGAAAACGATTTCACTTGCGAGTCATGCTACGATGTATTCAATACCAAAGAAGAGCTCGATAGTCATATGGAATTTCACAAACAAATTGAAGAAACTGAACCGCTAAGTCCCACTACCAACATAGACACGATTCTATTCGAGCAATCTAAAGATAAACACGAAATAATTGCGACAATTGATTCAAAACTCAAACCGGCAAAGCCATATTTACCCTATAGACAATCTCTAAACTCGATTCCAATCAAAAAGAGCCTAACCGCAACAATCAAGGACATGATTTCGCCTAATGAACAAAAAAAATCGAAAATTATTTTTTTACCTAATATCGAAGAGGAAAAATTGAAAGCTAAACAGAAAAAAAATAAACTAAAAACGAAGATTGTTTACAAGAATACAAATCAGCCGAAACCCAAGGCTTCTATTAAGGAAAAAGATGTAACCTCCTCTGCTAATGAAACACAACCTAGTCTATTGAAATCTAAACAAGTTAGTCTCTTGAAAAATCCAATAACTACAAATACTATTGATTCTTCTTCTGTTTACCTTCCTTCAAATATATCTGAAGATTCTCCAGAGAGCAGTATTCATATACCATCTACTTCTTCTGCTTGTTCTAGCGGTATTGCTCAAGTTAGTCTCTTGAAAAATCCAACAAATACTATCGATTTTAATAATACTGCTTCTTCTGTTTACCTTCCTTCGAATATATCTGTTGATTCTCCAAATACCAACATTCATATACCATCTACTTCTTCCGTAAGTTCTAGCGGTATTGCTTTTATTATTATACCCAATTCTACCACTCCTAGTTCGTCTGAACCGACTGAAAGTCTCAATACGTCTTTGCCCAAAATATCAAACGTAGTAAGTTTGAATAGTAGTATTTTAAATAGCATTCTGACACAGCCTAAAATCATAATGAATGAAGAAGCAATCGTCATAGATGATAGCGATAATGAATTTGATGAAAACGAAGATGAAAAAATAGATGAAAAAATGGATGAAAAAATAGATGAAAAAATAGATGAAAAAATAGATGAAAAAATAGATGAAAAAATAGATGAAAAAATAGATGAAAAAATAGAAGAAAAAGTAGATAAGGAAAAAGATGAAGATGATTCGGATGAGGAGAGTAACTTAGTTATAGATGAGAAAAATTTGGAAGAACAAAAATCTCAAGATAGTGTATTTGGAAGTAATAATAGCATTAAGGAAGAACAACCTCAAAGTGTGGGAAATGAAGCCGACACGACTGATAGTACGGAGATTATTTGTAAATTTTGTAATTACAGTTGTAGCCGAGTTATGGCACTGAAGAAACATTATTTGCACAGTCACAAGGCATTTCTTTGTTGGAAATGTCATTTTCTTACTCTTACGCTTGGGGAATTTATTGAACACAGGAATGTACATACTATGAGCGAGAGTTAGTAACTTATTCCACGATGTGTCACACTTGTGGAATTTGATTTTTGCACTAGTAGCATACTATACTTTTTCTACGACCACAATGACTAAAACATTAATCGCACATTTTGTAATCATTTACTAAAATATATAAATGTATTTTATGTTTTTTAAAGTTCAACTTTAAGTTTTTACAAGCTATGTACTATTTCACAGGGATACTATTGTGATTCGTAAAGTAGAAGAGATAAGGATGCGGTTAATTGGGAAAAATCATATTTAGGAAGCAACGAAACTAAAACCATGACTAAAAAGCGGAAGTATCTGAATATTTCAAATAAATTAAAAATTGCATGTTCCTTTTTTAACTCTAGTTTTCCAGGTACTAGAAAATAAAAAAACAAATAATTTATTTTAGTCACAAGACACTTTAATTAACTTACATCAGTTTTTTAATACAAGGTTTTGTTACATCAGGACCACCATCAACTTTATTTTTTTAGGTAAGAAAAAGACTCAAAATCAGTCACACATAATAATATTTATTATTAAACGACAACCGATTTCGGCCTTAAGCCATCATCAGGTCTAAATACAAACAAGAAAACTAATGTTAGTAAATATAAAGAAGATTAAATTAATTTTTTCTACACCCACATGGATATTAGTTTATCTACGCACAGATTACAAAACGAAAAAGTATGCTATTGCCTTTAACTGAACGAATATATTTCATGTCCATTTTAGGTAGTAAGAACTCTGCAAAAAAATAAAATCCACCAATCACCGTTCATATTTTGATCAACCGACTGCTATTATTTTTAAAATTTTAAATAAGTGACAATTCTATCAAACTACATTTTTTAGTTATTGAGATTAAATATACATTAAAATGGGTTATTCTTGTGTAGAATCGATAAATATTAGCATTTTTGTTTTTATTTCGTCTATAATGATAAATAATTTGTTGATTTAAATAAAACTATATGAAGTCAATTTAATTATGAGTATTAAAGCAAACAAATTAAAAGACTAGGTGGTCGTGTGGTGAGAGTTCTTGCCTTCCACACTGACGAGTCGAGTTCGATTCTCGGATGGGTAAAAACTTTTTTCTTTTTTTCTTTTCGTTTATTTTATTTTAAAAATTATTAAAAGTCATAAATTATTCTAAAATTAGATACTTTATCTTAACAACCTAAAAATTTTTTGTTTTAATTGTAAATTTTCGTTAGTAGGTCGTAGAAAAAATATACTGTACAACTCGAGTGGATTGTCCACATCGCACTCAGTCGATTGAGCACTCCGCCTACGGCGTCGTTCTCAAATTTCGTCTTCGTGCGATAAAACCATCATATCCACTCTTGTTGCACAAACTACTATTAACATACCTAGAAATAAAGTGGTAAGCGTTTACAACAAACTAGGACGTCTTCATAAAAAGGTTTACAAATACACGTCTTTTTTTAAATGTCCAGAATATATATTTCAATAAATCGTCTCAAATTTGTATAATGAATACAGCACCGTATAATTGACAATTTGTCTGATCATCTTAAAACAATTTTCAAAGCCGGGCCTGTTCATAAACAGATTTTAATGTTTCATTTGTTCAAACACAAACCCATAATACATGGCTCTACGGCTCTTTATAAAAGACCAGTAAGTGTCATTATATTTAGTTATAGTTATGGATGCATCCATAATAACAACAATAATTTATTTTTCTTTGGATATAATCCAATATTTGTTGTGGTATTACCCAAATGAATAGTTGTTTTCCGAAGGGACCTATTATTTTGCGACACATTCCTTTGATAATTTCTTGTTTTTATTTATTTTACGTCTTGGTCATATTTGAATTTGGAATTACTCGTTCTTGTTGTTCGATTATCAGACAAGTGATGGCAGTACTGTTAAACAAGCGAATTCAGAAAATTATATGATCTTTTTACTATTTTATACCGAAAATGTTTAAAATTAATGTGAAAATGCTTTCAGCACATTAAATTAAAGTTCGTTTAAATAATCGTATTAGGTACCTAATTTTCACAACAATTATATGACGATTAGACTATAATTAGGCTAAAATTAGACTGAAATTAGACTAAAATTAGACTTCAAATAGACTACAATTAGACTTCACTTAGACTACAATTCGACCTCAATTCGACTACAATTCGATTACAATTCGACTACAATTAGTATACAACTGAAAGGCTTATTGGAAAAACGTAACAAGCCACAAAAATAATTTAGAAAAAAAAACACAGTTGAAGGTTCAAATAAATTTCTAATAGTACTACAATTTTGGTAAATTGCAATAACTTGTATTTTCAGCTATTGATAGCAATAATCGTTGGAGAATATCGATTTGGTATGTGGCTTGTAACCCTATTACTTATTGTCGTGGAGTAAAAACCCCATTATTTGAAAAATGTGGTTTGTTACGTTTTTAGAGTAAATCCTTTAATTAGTCTAAAATTTGACTACAATTAGAGACTACAATTAGAGACTACAATTAAAGACTACAATTAGAGACTACAATTGAGACTACAATTAGAGACTACAATTAGAGACTACAATTAGAGACTACAATTAGAGACTACAATTAGAGACTACAATAATTAGAGACTACAATTAGAGACTACAATTAGAGACTACAATTAGATACTACAATTAGATACTACAATTAAAGACTACAATTAGAGACTACAATTAGAGACTACAATTAGAGACTACAATTAGAGACTACAATTAGAGACTACAATTAGAGACTACAATTAGAGACTACAATTAGAGACTGCAATTAGAGACTACAATTAGAGACTACAATTAGAGACTACAATTAGAGACTACAATTAGAGACTACAATTAGAGACTAGAATTAGAGACTACAATTAGAGACTACAATTAGAGACTACAATTAGAGACAACAATTAAAGACTACAATTAGATACTACAATTAGATACTACAATTAGATACTACAATTAGATACTACAATTAGATACTACAATTAGAGACTACAATCAGGATTACCGACGCTTTCATCGAAAATTTTCTCCCGATATGGTATCCGTGCAATCATCACCTTGATGAAATAAAACGCAGAAAGTAATGATGTGCTTTTTGAACATCTTATTGAATTTTAGTTTTGTTTAATTAAAACTATTGTTCTTTTGTATATTTTATAAAAGATTATAATTGGTAAAATCATGTATTTTCTAGAGTTTATACAGATTTCTTTTATATAAAAGTACATGGGATACAAATAACAGGTTTATTCTAATTATTCATGAATTTTTCTGTCAACAGATATTATTTTCGTTCGCTTTCAAAAATAGCTAGTACTGGATGTACTGGGTCCATGAAACAGTATACAGTAAAATATCTGTTCTTAGCAGGTCTGACTTTAAAAATTATTTGACGATGATCAACAAAATACTAAATTAAATTATTTGATTATTCATAATATACATTAGAGACAATTTTTAAATAAATCCAGGTCTGTATTTAAAAAAATAATGTTGATGGTATTAATTCGTGTGAATAAAATAAAAAAAAATTATATTTTTTTTATATCCTTATAACTGGAAAAAAGAAAAAGAAAAATATTTTATTTTAAATATTTCAGAAACGGTTCAGGATTTTTTAGTTCTGTTTGTGCAGTATTCCCGTGAAATACTGTACACCCTTTATATTACAAAAATTAATATTGACATTACAATTAGAAATTTTAACAGGTGGTAGATCACGGACTAAAAAATTAAATCAAAAAATTTTAAACTGGGTAACTGATTTAATTTTTTTCCTTATTCACTTTTATATCTAGACAACCAACATTTCATAAATTATTGTTCATTTTTTATCACACATATTTTTTACCAAATTTCCTAAATGTTTTAATAATGGACAAATTATTTCCAATTTATATTTAATTAAATGTGTTAATAAGATATACGAATTTATTTCTTTAATCACAATAAGGGTTATAGGACAATTTTTTCAATGCTCTAAACAGTGTGGAATGACCGTGGGAAATAATATTTCCGCACGTATTTATGAATATGTATTGAATTGCCTACTTTGACGATTAAAAAACAGTACAGAATGTGTTTTTGTGTAGTGGTCGTCGAAAAAGATGTAAAAATACTTAATTGTTATAACTAATTTATCCACGGTGTTTTATTAATAATTATCTATATAATTACTGGAGAATCCTTGATCAAAAATGTATCGATTAGCGTTTAAATAAAATATTCCTCCTAACCGAGATGCAGAATGTTTTATTTAAAAATATTTTTTCCTTTTGTTGCTAGACCTTTCAATATTTTTTGTTCTCATTTGGTAAAAAGTTTATACTTGTTTGTTAATTATTGTAAAAGGTAGTTTCCCCTCTACATTGTATCCGGTATCGTTCGTCATAATGACATATTTTTTTGATAACTCTTGTCTCATTTCGATAGAGTCAGCGGTTTTCAAGATATTTGCGCTTACATGAGTTTCGTAAGGAGGTTGATAGTCTTCATCATAAAAATATCCCAACTGAAAAAATTTACAAACATTTAAATAGACTAACATAGCTAAAACGAAAATTGTAGGCTAGGAACAATCATTGAACCTAAAGGAATTCTGCTTGTGGAGAATTAATAAAATAAAACATACGTTTTGAAATTTTTAATGACAAAATCTTCTCGTCATGTATGGGATTTTTAACCTCTGTTAGAAACAATATTTTATCTAAATGTTTGAGGTTACATTGACATAGTGTAGATCAAGGATTCTTCCATTACAATGTGGACAATTATTAATGAAACACTCTGTTTATTGGTTAAGGTTTTAACAAATTTTAATGTCTGATAGTTGAC